GCCCTGGGCCCGGGCCAGGAGTGTGCTCGTGGATCTGTGGGCAGGCGGAGTGCGAACACAGCCTCACCGCCGCCCAGAGCACGGCTGGCCTGCAGCTCCACCCACAGGCTCCCCAGCCCGCCCCTGCACAGATGGGTGTTGCAGCCCAAAAGGACCAGACAGGAGGACGGATGCCTCCCGCCACCCCGAGGACCACGCAACCACGGCAGTGCACCGTAGCACTTCGTATCCCCTCTGTGTGCCTCAGTTTCCCTATCTGAGAGGCTGGACTGGAACGAGCTCTTGGATCCCTCGGTCCGGGGTCCGGGAGGCTGGGTCCTGTCCGTCCTTGGCCCTGGCACGAGGGCTCCACTGGAGGTGAGGCAGAGCAGCCGTCAGCAGCTTACCTTTGGGTCCCGACGGTCCCACAGGTCCTTTGTCACCTGAAAGGGAGGGGACACCTTGGTGTAAAGAGCCCTGCAGGGCCGCCCAGGAAGGGGCGATGTCTGGTGCTGAAGACGGGCTCCCCCGGCCTAGCCTCACCGCCCCCGCTCACCCCTGTGGGCCTGGACTCGTGTGTCCTTCAGACCCTCCCTGTCCCCAGGCCTCTCCGGCTCACCTTTGACACCGGGGAGTCCCACTTCACCTCGAAGTCCTTGGAGACCCACAGAACCTGTCCAGCAGAGGAGACGGGCGAGTGACCCCAGCTTTGAAAGGGACGGACGCACGCTTTCACCCACACACGCCCGTGCACACACATATGTATGCACACAGGTACACACACATGCACCGACACCCGGGCACACATACGTGCACACACAGAACACGCGTCCGTGTGCACCTATGTGCACACACACATGCACGCCTGGAGTGAAAGTCAAGGGCCGCTTTCCACGGACTCCTCCCCAAGTCCTGCTGAGTCATCATGCCCGGGCTCTCCCCAGCCGGCTGCCCTGGCCGTGGGGACGCCTGCTGGGCCTGGCTGTGGCTCAAGACCCCCAGGCCCGCAGGCCAGCTCTCGACCCACGGGGCACTCAGAGCAGCCCTTGCTCGGATGAGGGCCGGGTGGGGACACCCTGTTGCCGGAGCTGCTGGAGGGTCTCGGCCCCAAGCCGGGCTGGAGTGGCCTGGACAGGACTCGCCGGGCCCCAGTCCCAGCCGCCTGGAACACTCGGGGCACGCGGGACACACGCGGACTTGAGCCCTGTGTCTCCGCGAGACTCTCGCTGCTCTTCGTTTGCTTTCGGCACGCTTGCTTTCCTTTACCATTCCTCCCTCTGCCCCAGGAGGCGCCTGTTCATGGTGAGCACTGACCTGGGGGGCCCTGGGGGCCGGGAGAGCCGCTGGACCCTGGGAGGACAAGAGAGCGGTCGGCAGAGGCAGGGGCAGGGGACGCCTGACCGGGGAAGAGCGCCCACGTCTGGGGGGGCTGGGCGTGTCGCCCACACGGCGGGTGCTTGCCGGGGCCCCAGTGAGCAGGCCAGGAGTGACCCCAGTGCCCCGTCCTCCTGAGAAGGAGGCTGCAGCTGGGTGGATCAGGAGATCCTCGCTCCTTCCCGGTCGGGAGAGAGGGGCCCACGTTTGCGTCCGACTGTGGGAAGGGCCCGTCCTGGTTGCCTGGATGCGTTGCTTTCCATTTGCGCCCGGGCCCCAGCCGTCGAGGACGTCGTCTGATTTCCGGCTTCCCAAGAGACCCGTCCACCCGCACAGGGATCACCTGACAGGGCGGCTGACGGGAGATGGGAACGAGGCCCCAGGCCCATGGCGGGCCGAAAGGACAGCCCCGTCTTGAGGCCCCAAGGACGGCTTTGTGGGGGGCCCCAGGCCCTGCACTGGCCGGGGGCATGGGGCAGGGCCGGCGGCGTCCCAGGGCCTGTCCCCTCTGGCCCGTCCTAGATGTGGCGCCTCCCTGGTAAACAGGAACGCTGCCACAGCTGCCTGACTTACCTTTGGGACCTACAGAGCCTGGGACACCCGGTGGGCCCTGAGGACCAGGTTCACCAACGGCACCTGGGGAGACATGGAGCAGGGAGCGCATTGGGAGAGGCCGCGAGTGGACGCCTGCCCGGCCCACGGTGTCAGGGCAGGGGCTGCTGGCGACCGCCACCCAGGTGTGCCTCCGCGAGGCCACCCTCAGCCTCTGCCACCAGAACCGTTATCATCCGTGAGGTGTGGCACCCCACGTGTATTTGTTGTCTGGTGGAGCCATGTTTGACAGGGAGAGTGGGCCGACACCTCTGCTCGTCTTCAAGCACCGAGGGGACTCCTGGTGCTCATCTCGGTGCCCAGTGCCAGCCCGTGTCTGGGCCGCCCTCCTGCCTCCTTCCCAGGAGCGGCTCCCTGGCTCTGCCACTCCCCCTCCTCCCGCGGGGCCTGGCCTGCCCCCATGCCACGTGGCATTCTCTCACCCCCTTGCCCCAAGGCCATTCCTCCCAGACGCCTTCCTGGGTTCGAGCCACACCCTCAGCCTGCTGTGTCCTGGGGTGCAGCCCAGGTCGGCGGGTGCTCCATGGATGCCACTGAAGGAAGCGGGAGGGTGGAAGGCGGGAGGGAGGCGTGGCCAGCCCCCGAGACGCGCCTCTTACCTCTGTCCCCTTTCTCTCCAAACCCGGGAGGCCCTGGTTCACCGCGGGGTCCCGTGGGGCCTTCTCGCCCTCGCTGGCCCAGGGGGCCTTCCATGCCGGGCTCTCCTAAGAGCAAGGACGGCCAACCTGAGTTCGGATCCGGCAGCAGGATGCTTGCTGGAGCCTCGGCCCGGGCCTCCGGCTTCTCCCCGGCTGCAGCCTTGCTCAACCCAGGGCCAGGGGCCCCGGACAGTGGGAGTGGGCCGTGTCCCCGGTGGGCCCCAGCCTGCAAATGGCTTCCCAGCCCACCCAGAGTCAACACCAGAGCCCTCCGCCGG